CACTTAAAGGTGGGACTGCCTCCTGGTCCCCAGCCCTGGGCTGGGCCCATAGCAGTGTTGCTTGGGCATCGCCCTTTTCATGCCCTTTAAAGGGATAAGAGTGCTCTGAAGTCTGGCTGTCTGGAGTTGAATGTCACCACCATTTACTGGCCCTAAGCCTCAATCTCCCTAACTCCCAGCAGGGAGAATCTGAGCACCCATGTCGCATGGTCTTGTGACTGAGACCAGGATGGACAATGCTAATCAGAATAGCGGGTGAGAGCTCAGTGGATGCTAGCTATTGTTACAATTAGTTTTGTTGTTCCTCCATACTCCTGCCAAGTTTCCCAACAGGACCCTGGCTTTGCAAGGACCAGGCCATCCTCCTGGGCAAAGAACAGTTAACCAGGCTCTTTCTGGCGACAGGTAACTTAATTCCCATCTCAGATGCTGAGGCGGAGACCAACGCAGAGGTGAAGCTGGAACGTGAGATCAGCCCGGGGCCGCGTGCTCCCCAGGGAAACGGCCAGAGCTTTCACCCCAACTCTTTCTTCTCCCGCCTTCCAGAGCAGTGGTCATAGATACGGTGAAACAAGATCAGCCTCAAGTGGGACTGGGGTTGGGAGGGAGTTGGGAGCAGGTGGGTTGAGAGGGTGTAACACAAGCCCTCTCAATGTCCCTCACAGACAACACTGAATCTGCCCTTTGACTTCCCCCAGAGGCCCAGAGAGGTTAAGGTCCTGGGCCAGTATCACACAGCTTATCTGGCAGCCAGTTGGACTTTCTGAATCTGGAGGTCCCTAAATTCTAAAACTCTGTGATACCCCCAGCCCAACCCATGGTCACTTCTTAAGGGACAGAGGGTTGGAGGGTGATGATGGGGGAGTCTTTTACATGTGTCTTAGGGAGCCGGGCCAGAGCCTCCAGTGTGGGGAGGGCGGGGAGCCACCAGGCGGCAGGATCGGGTACCAGGCCCCACTCCTTTGCTCCCCAGTGAGGGTCAGTTGCTCTGAGCCGGGGAGGAGAAGCAGGACTCCAGGGATGGAAGGCACTGGAAAGCCATTTCTCTAGCGCCGGCTGAGGGCACCCCCGGGCTCAATCTCCTTTTCTCTCTGCCTGGCTCCTGGCTCCAGCCCTCTCTGGCTGCGGTCTCTGTATTTCTCTATCCCTGTCTCTGCTGGCCTTGCTTTGCATCTCTCTGTCTCTTTCTGTTTCTCACTACATAGCTCCCTGTGTCTCTATATCCTGTTTCTCTCCCTTTCTTCTCTTGTCAGTCTCTCCCCATGTATCTCCCCCCGTTTCTGCCTCTCCAGCATGTCTCTCTCCTGTGCAAGGCCTCTCTCTCTCCCTGCCTGTTTCTCTCTCATTTCTCCTCTCCCTCCTCTTCCTCTCCCTCCTCCCCTTCCTCCTTCTCCATTTCCCCTCTGCCCTGTCATCCAACTCATCTGGGACAGAGAACGGATCTGGGTAGGAGAGTGACACAGCAGGGCTGGCAGGTAGGCTGGAGGAGGGGAGGGCAGGGCAAGCACACAAGAGGCTACTGCAAAGGTCCGGGCAGGCAGGGGCCAAGTCTAAGCCCCGTGAAAGCCATGGGTGGAGGAGAGGACAGTTCTGAGAACCGCTGTAAGGGAGGGGGCCTCGATGATGCTGTGGGGCCTGGGAGAAGGGCCAGTAGCCGGGAACACTTCCAGGAGGGGAGACGAGGAAGGGAGGGCGGGGAGTGGAGTGGAGGGACAAGAAGGGGCAGTTGTTGAGACCTGAGGCCAGCTTGGAGAGAGCTTTGAATGCTGACCAAGAGCCTGGGCTTCAGCCCATGGGGTGGTGGCTTTTTATGTGAATCTGATGAAACTCCAGAACTCTCCCCTGACAAATGTATATGCCCGATGTCTGGCACCCAGGTCAAGGCTTCTGGGACACTTTGAAGTTCTTCCATGAGCCACAGAGACCCCAGAATATGAAGCTGGTTCCAGGCACTGGGGAGCCATTGAGGGTTTTTGAGCTGAGGAGATGGCAGACATGGAGCTACACTGTAGGAAGATGGCTCTGCAGCAGTGTGGCCTTAACTGTGCAGCAGAGAGGCCTCTGGCAGCCTGGCCCCTAGGCCTAGGCCCTCCCAGAGTGTCCCCTGCTTCCCGGAGACCCTGCAGGCTGCTTGCACCTAACACAGGGGAGTGGGTCCAAGCCCTGAGCCAGGGTGGCTGCAGCCCAGGGTGCTAAGCGTCAGAGGGAGGGGCTGAGGCCCTCTCCACACTGCTGCCAAGAACCCTTGGTCCTAAGTGCCTGGGCCTGGCCCAGGAAGACTGGGTCCTCACAGCCATTTGGATGATCAGCCCGGGGACCTGCGACAGTAGCCCCGCTCTGCCAGGCTCAGCCTAGTCCGGTCCCTTCCTACCCGCCCGCTCACCTGCCTCCTGTCTTGGATGCCCTGGGTTGAGTCTCTACCTCCTCAGACAACGTCCATTGAGGCAGGAAGCGGGCCCAGTGTGGGTGTTGTCCTCACCCTGCCAGCTGGGCCAACCTGGAGTTTTCAGCAGCGACCTTAGTTTGCTGTTCTAACACCCGCTGCACAGATAGGGAGCCTGAGTCCAAGAGAGTGCTGAGATTTGCCCACTCATTCTCCTGCAGGCTGGTGACCCAGGCAGGCCCCCAGGCTTTCAGCCCCAGGGCTCTCCTGCCTGTACTGAAAGAACAGTCCTCCAGTCCTCCAGTGCCTGCACATCACCTTAGTGCCCCATCACCTGAAAAGCCCGGGTCCTGTCCCAGTTATGCCCCCCACTGAGGCTGCCTGAGCCACTTGGAGCGGAACTCATTGCTATTGCCATAGCTACCAGTTACTAAGTGCCTACGATGTGCCAGACACTTGACATCATGACCCACCGTGTAGGTGACAAGTTACCACATTGTGTAGATGAAGAAGCTGAGGCTCAGAGGAGGTAAGTTGTCTGTGCTTATCCTGCTAGTAACTGACAGAGCCGAGATCAGGACCCAGGTGTGCCCAACTGCAAAGCCCAGGCCTTTCTTCCATGCCATATCCCTTTCTCTTCCTGTCATACAAAAGGGGCATCAATTTGGCTTCCCTAGAAACTTGGGAGACCCAGGAATCTGTCCCTGAAACCAGAGGTCCAGGCACCTTCCTGGCTCCCAGAAGACCAGCCAGGAGTCAACTTTAGCAGCCAGGGAGGCCCTCAGCTGCTCCCTTTCCTTTAGCAGAAGAACCGCAGGGGAGCAGGAGATGCCCATGAACCTGGTCTCCAGGGTTCTAGCTCTGCCATTGACTTGCTGTGTGTCGTGGCCTCACTGACTCCCCTCTCGGGCTGAGCCTCTGTCTCCCCCTCTCAATCTGGAGGAGCTGGGATCACGGCTCCCAGAGGGCCATGCCAGCCCGAGTGCCTGCAATTCCTTGGCTAGAAGGAGGTACCTTGGTGCCCTCTGGGCAGAAGCTTTGCCAAGCTAAGGGTTTGGCATGTCATCTTTGCCTGCTCTGTTCAAAGGTGACTGTCTTGTTCCAACAAGGAGCCACCCCAAGGGTGGCCCACTCCAAACCCCAGTGACTCACTTACAGAGTGAGGGGCAGGCGGGCGGGAGCTCTCTCTGTGGCTCTTGGCGTCTAGTGGAGCCCACGGTCCCACGAGCCCACACCGAGCGGGAACTTGTGTCAACCACTGGCTCCTATAAATCGCAGGGCTAGGACAAGGTGGGATTGTCGGCGGTGCTCAGAGAGAAAACTCAGCCTGTGTGCTCTGGGGAGCTGACCCTGGGGGACCCTGGGCCCTGCTCGGTGGCATTAATGAGCCCTCCATCTGGTGCCATCGTCAACCACTAGCTGATGCTGACCCAGAAGTTCGGCTGTGCTCTCGAGAGAGTGCGTGTGTGTTCCAAGGCTAGCAAAGGCTCAAGTTTTCCGATTCGGAAAAATCCGTTCAAAGGAAGGAAAATTGAGGATGAGGAAATGAAGATAGCTTGATTCGTGTTTCCTCAGTCTGAGACTCAGCTGGTTCACAGCAGACTATCTCCCTGGATGTCTAACAGAGGAAACTCAGGCTCAGAGAAGGCTGGGCCCCAGGAGGGAGGGCCATGGCAGGGCCAGAATGGACATGTGACCTTTTATCTCCCAGCCCAGAGCTCTGACCATCCTGCCGTCCTGCCCCCCTCGGCCAGGGGCCAACTCTACCCTTGGCCCCGGTGGAGTGTGGACCCTGGACTTCTCTGACCTTGATTTGGACTCAACAGCTTCCCCTCTTTGAAGCACAGCATAACAGACGCTTCTACTAGGAGGCTTCCCAGGTGGGGCACCCAGAGCCCTGCCTTCAAAAAATTTATCATCTTCCTGAGGAGACAGAAGGGAATTCAGGAGTAAAACCAGAAAAATAATAATGACCAATGCTTACATGGTACTCACTCTGCACCAGACAGTTCTGTTCTAAGGGCTTTTCATGTGTTAACTCATTTGATCCTCACAACAACCTATAAAGTATTGTCAGTCCCATTTTACAGATAAAGAAGCTGAGGCACCCTGAGGTTAAGTAACTTCCCCTCGGTCACACAGCTAGAAATCTGTGTAGCCTGTTCCTTGAGTCCACACCACCAAAGAAGATATCACGTGACAAGTTTTAGCTCCTCCTCGGTGCTAGGCACCATCCTCAGTATTGGGGACACAGTGGTGGAAAGAAGAGACAAGGATCCTGTCCTCAAGGAACTTGCCACTCTTCCTTCATTCACTCATCCATCCATCACCCATCCACCGCCCATCCATCAATCATCCAAATATCATCCATCCACCATCAATCTATCATCCACCCATCCAACCGTCATCCATCCATCTGTATCTATTTTTACTCACTACGGTATCCCTCATGCTCAGCACAGTGCCTGGCACATAATCCTCAACCAATATTTGTTGAAGGAATGAAGAGATGAAGACAGATTGGGGCCATGCCCAAGAGCTCTGGGCTCGAGTCTTTTACCCTCTCTCAGTCCAGCCCAGTGGGTAGTGAACACTGCCCTACTCACCTCACAGGATTCTTGCGAGGCTCTCATGGTGAGTAGACAAGTGCTTTGCAAACTGTAAAGGGCTGTGAAGACATAGCATGAGGCTGTTGAGCTGCTGTGCAGGCGCCGAGGCCTGCAGAGCTGGGTCTCCCTCAGGTCTGGCTGGTGAGCCCTGTCAGACGCTTCCCCTTCGTCTGCCAAGAGGCCCAGAAAGGAAAGGAAATTGACATTTAACGAGCATCCAAGATGTGCCAGGGCTTCACACACTTTAACCCTCTCTTCTCTTTTTCTTGTACAGATCAAAGAAATGGAAGCCCAGAGAGGTCTGTCATTTGTGTAAGGTCACACGGCCAATGAGGAGCAGAGTCCAGGTTTGAACCTGAGGCTGTGAGCCCCAAAACTTGTGCTTGTGACGGTAGCCCACACCACCTCCCTTTAAAGGGATGTTGCTGCCTCCCTGCATTCCAAATATCCTTAAGTTCCCCACTGTTCAAGGTCACAGAGCAAGCTCCTGGCAGAGTCTTTAAAAAAATGTCTCCATTCAGTTTTTGCATTGATTATTTCCTTTTTGCTTTATAGGAATTTCCCCCCTTTTATTTGTAAAGAAAAGCCAATGTAAATGTTCTCCCACACATAGGTTAACCCTTGTCTGACAGAGGTGGATTCTGGGCAGCCATTTCGGAGAGGGGATGGAAGGTCAGCCTCTTGCCAGGGCTTCCTGCGGGGCCTTTTCTCAGACACTCGCGATAGTTCACACTCAGGTGTGGCTGTGCTGCCTAACATCACCCGTGGCAGAAGCCCCTGACTCCCAATTTACCAGCTTCCTATGACCCTCAGCACGGGGCAGCCTTCTAGGACCCAAGAAGAAACCATGCCCTGAAACCTAGAGGCCAGGGAACAGTCTTTCTGGAGACTCTACTCATGTACCGCAGGCTGGGACAGAAAAAGAAACACTCACAGCCACTGTCCTGGGCCACCCACCGAGGGCCTGGCACAGCACCGGGCACCGCACCAACATCCTCTCTTTGTGTCTTCTCAGCAGGAGGGGTTGGTCTCAATAACCCCATTTTACAATGGAAAGGGAAGCTGAGGCTCAGAGAGGCAAAGTCATCTGCCCAAGGCCGCACAGCTGGCCAGGGGCAAATTGGGCGTAAGACAGGACCCTTGTTTATAAGTTGCTTTAACTCAGGGGCTAAAAATAAAACATTGTGCACTTGAAATGACAAGGTACCTCCTCTGGGCCAGGCACCAACCGCAGTCCTGGGGACCTGGTGCAACATGGAACTGGTGGAAGAAAGCCCCAGTTCTGCTAAAGACTTGCCAAGTGACCTTGAGTGGGTCACTCTCCTTCTCTGAGCCCAGAATTTGCCCTGTGTGAGTTGAGTGGATTGAGGGTCTGAGTCTTTTATACTCTTTCTCATATGTTGTTTGGGTACCAATGTGCAAGGTAGAATTTAGGGGGCGGGGAAAATGGCTGTGCTTTGTGGAGTAGTCCTGCAGTACGGCTGAAAGTCACTAAGAAGCTCTCTTCCTGCCACTCAGAGACCCCATTACCAATACCCCAAGGGGCAAAATTCCCAGAGAAGTTAAGGTAGCTGGGATTAAAACACCCCATTCCTGACCTGCATCACCATGTGGGGGGCCGAACAGAAGAACTGCAAGCCCCGGGCCAGATACCAACGGGAAGCAGGGACGGCACCAGGCCTTCCACGCCGGTGGACGGTGGACGGTGGGTGGGATGCTCTCTGAGCTCCGCACACCAGCGGCTCCTGCCCCGCCCTTCTCCTGGACAGCCCCTCACCCCTCACCCCAAGACACATCGCCCCGCTGCCCCCAGCCCCTCAGCAGAGGCTCCTCCTGTCGTTGGCTCTAGTTCCAGCAGGCTGGCCATTTAAGGCTCCACCTCACCCCTTTAAATTCTATTTTTTCAAACCACATTCTTGAACTTGGCAGATAACGTGGCAGCCCGACAAGAGCCCTATTTACTCGGAGAGCCGTGAATGGGCCCTTTATAACAAGCTTCATTAATATTTCTACCTATTGGCCAGCTCTCCATTTCCTCCCCCTATACAAACAGATTCTCCACACAGAAAGACTTTTCAAATGCTCTTGTTGACTTTCCCCAAATAGGGAGGGCAGCCGGGCTGGCCAGGGTGTGTGAGTGTGTGTGAGTATGTGTGCAGGGGAGGGGGCGTCTGTGGGCGTGCGCCCGCCAGCCTGGTGCAGGAAGGAAAGAGGCCCACTATTCATGGGCAGGGGCGGGCAGCCCGGGTGAGTCCAGGTATGCTGCATCTCACAAAGACACACTGAGTCCAGCCTGCACCGTGAATTCCAGAGCCCTGGCCGGGGGAGCCGGACGCTCCCTCCTCAGTCCCTTCTGCTGCTGGGCTGGGTGACTCTAGGCAAGTCCCTTACTCACTCTGGGCCTCACCGTTCTTATTTGTCAGTTGGGTCTACACCCTGTCACTCAAAGTGTGGTCCATGCACCAGAGCAGCAGCATCGCTTGAGAGATGCAGATTCTCTGGCCAGATGCGCTGGAGCAGAATCTACATCTTACGGTCCCCGGGGGATATGCGTGCACAACGAGGTTTCAGAAGCATCAGATCTATGGCACGTGCCCCTCTGCCACCACCAGCGCTGTTCTATGGCTCACAGGCCATCACAGACCTTAAACATCATTGAGCCACCAAGGCTATTTTGTTCCCTACTTGGTGACCACAGGCCTGGCCCGTGGTTAGGGCTCAGGAAATAAATGAACGAACAGAAAAGTGCATTGTCAAAGTCCAAAGCCTTGTGCTAGTGACAGAAATTCTTCCTCTTCAGCATTTGAGAACTTGTGAAGAACAGCCTGTTCGTCATTCGGAAGGTCACACGGCATTGAAAGGGATCGCCTAATATTGCAACGGATGGGGTGAGCTCGCTGTCTTTTGGCGATATGCAAACAGAGGCTGGAGGGCCTGTGAGGGCGCGGAGCCCCACATGTAAAGGGCGTGCCTCTGGGGCTGAGGAAGAACCGCTGCAGAGAATGTGGTGTGGTCACTGCGCTTGCCTACGGGGGCGTGGTGGCAACTTGGAGAGAGGCAGAGCCACCTCTTCAACTGAAGATGCCCCCAGTGAGGACGTGGCAAACGGCTTCACTTCCTCTCCATTTGTTCATGTGATGAATGTTTTTCCAAACTGTCTGGCTGTCTGCTGGACCTTGGGGACATGATGGTTAATAAAACAGACTTTGTCCTTGCCCTCATGGGGGAGAGAGACCATCAACAAGTAGATTAAAAATTAAATTCAAATTATGAGGAGGAAGCAGAGGAGGGTGAGAGACAAGTTGTGGGGGGGAGTGGGGGGGGGGTTGGAGGGAACTTATTAGCCAGGGGAGTCAGGGAAGACATCACTGAAAGGTGAGCTTTTAAATTTAAACCTGAAGACAGAGGAGCCAACCATGTGAGGAGCTGAAGGAAGGGTGCTCTCAGCAGAGGGAACAGCACATGCTAAGGTCCTGAGGCAGGAAGTATTTAGTGCTTTGCAAGGGGTCAGGGTGGCAATAGCACTCCACATGCAAGGGGGAGAGGGATCTGTGATGGGTGGCAATTTCCCAGACCTGCTGGGAGGAAGGATGGCGCAGAGTAGGTGCTCAGAGCATAACGTGTTGGCTTTTAATCGACCTTCAGGCCTCTGTGGCTGCTTCAGGCCCCTGTCAGGATGGCTGCCTGCTCTTTCCATCTCTCGGGAGCAGCCCAGGAAGTACCCAGCCTGGGCCACGGCCCAGGACGGGGCCAGCTGAGCTGGAGGGGGTTGAATGAGCTGCCTGTGTGTGTCTTGGCTACCTACAGCTTACCTTTTGGGGGAGGGGTGGCCTGCCCAGCTTTGACTAGCCTAGATGGCTTGGACAGAAATCCCTGACGCCCTGCCTAGGTCTCAGCAGCAAAGGCCAGACCCTCTCGGGAACACAGAAGCCTCTGGCCAGCCCACACCCAACTCCCTGGCCAGCCCTTAAGTACCAGGCTGGAAATAACCAGTTCTTTCCGCCCCTAGGGGCCATGGGCTCACCCACCACAGGGGCTGGAGTGGCTGGACAGAGTGAGGCCTCTTGGATTCTCCCAGCTGGGAGGCCCCTACTCTCAGGCTCTGGGGGGTGGGGAATTCAAATCCTGGATTTGCCACTGACCTCCCAGGAGTGCTTCAAAAGCTGCCGTAGCAATCTGAGCCTCAGCTTTCTTATCCATGAAATGGAGTTGATCACCCCCTCTGAGGGTCACTGTGAGAAATAACATAATAGATGTGTGAGTTTTGTAAACCGGAAAGTGCAATGCACATCGAAGAGTTCATGGCTGGGAGGAACAGTTCACGTCATATTCGAGGTCATGAAAAGACAGTTCTGGTGTACAGTCCCAACTCTAACCTCTGGATAGATCACAGCACTTCTGAGAGTCTCAGTTTCCGCAGCTGTAACATCTGGACCCTTGTCCTGACCTCAGTGTTGTTACGAGAATCCAGTTAGTTCAAACGATGTAGGCACTGAGCACCTACTATGTACCTTGTTCACAGCATTCTAGATGTCTTGCAGAGGGGAAGGGCCCCTTTCCTTCTTCAGCTTCAGGGAATCCTTTCCTGAGGCTTCAAGATAATCCAAGATATACTCAGGAAACCATCAAAGGACGGGGAGAAGAAGACTTCTAGGTCTCAAACTTGGCCCCCAGAGTCAAGTTGCTGGTCAAGAACCTGTCTCATTTTCTTACTGTCCCTGTGACTTTGGCCAAGTTACTTAGCTTCTGCAAGCCTCAGTTTCCCCATCCATAAAGTAGGGAGATTATTAATACCACAGCGGCTGTTGCTGTGATTAAATTACATCAATTGAGAGCTGAGCTCAGTTCTTGGCCCATTGTGTTTGATTCATCATGTTTGCTGCTATTAGAAGTAGGAGCAAATAGAAGTTGGTTGTTGTAGTAGTAACAGTCATAAAATAGTAGTAGTATAAATGCCAGTAGTAGCAGTAGAGGCGATGATATAAGTAATAATAGTAATAGCAGTCACAGTACTGGTAGCAGCAATAGTATTAAGAAGTCCCAGTAGTACTAACAGTAGCAGTAGCAGAAGTACTGGTACTGCACGGACTGGTGGTGGTAGTAGTAGTAGAAGTGCTGGTTGTGCTAACAAACAGTGGTAGCAATAGTAGTAGAAGTAGTAGTGGACGTACTAGTATGATGCTGGTAATAGTAGTGCCAAAAGAGAGAGGTAAGACTGAGAGCATTCAGCCCCTTTTAATTCTGGGGAGATGGGACAGGGTCTAGTTTATGGAAATTGGAAAGGAGAAGGGTCCAGAGAGATGAGGTTGACAGAAATGAAGGGGTACAGGGCCCCAGGAACTGGTGCTCATCAAATCCTCTTAGGCTTGGTGGGGGAATATGATTCCGTTTCAGGGACAGCGTCTTGGGGTGGGGGGCCGGGCTGTGCCTCCACCTCCCGCTCCCCCAGGGAGGCAGGGACAGTGTTTGCTCCCAGAAATCCCAGAGCCCTGGAGGAAGCAGGGTCTTGGGTGCCTCTGGTCCACTGTCCTCTACACACACTGAGGCTCCGTGTGTGTATGTGTGCGTGCGTGCACGCACGCGTGTGTGTCTCCCTTGGGTCGCAGAGTAGGGAATGATGGCTTTGTGGCCTCGGGAGACGTGCTTCCTGCTGCTCCAGTGGGCCAGCTTTGAGGGTTTGGCGGCTGCGCTTATGTGGAAGCTGCAGCTTCGTGTTCCAGCTCCTCAGCTGCCAGAGGGGCGAGTCAGCAGTGGGGCCTGGCACCCACCCAGGCAGGAACTCAGCGGCCTCATGCTGATAAGGTGGGCGGGGCTTCCTGGGAAGAGCTTGAATAATTACAAGGAGGGACACTAGGGCATCATCCCCAGGCTCTGCTCATCTGGAAGAGTGAGTGAAGATGAGTTTCTAGCCAGAACCATTACCAGGGCTTCCATGGAGATTTCTATCTTCTGGCAGCTTGAGTATGATCCCACCAAACTCCCTGGCCTTTGATCCCACTAAGCAACAGTTTGCTCTTCAACTTGTCCCACTGCTGGGCCTTTGTTCGTGCTGTTCCCTTTGCCTGAAATGCTCTTCTTCTCCCTTCTGCCTGTCCCAATTTCTACCCATTTTTAGAGCCTGTCTGAATGCTACCTCCTCCAGGAAGTCCTTCCAGATTCCCCAGCCCTTGCTCTCTGGTCAGGATTCACTTTCCTCACTGGTGTTCCCATGGCATTCGGTTCCAGCTGCTATGAGTAGTTCAGTTTAAGAGACGTGCCCTGATTCACCAACCAGTCCCTGCCCTCAGAGAACTTAGAGTTCCCCCAGGCAGACAGATGTTGCTGCCCCATCACTAACCCCACTAGATGGGTTCAGGTCCTGGGGCTGGTAGTTGTGGGAGGGTGTGGGTCCTTAGAGGAGGGCTCCCATGCCAATCCAGGAGGACTTCCTGGGAGAGGATGCAGCTTCTCTATGCTCAACCAAACAACACCAACGACACAGTGGATCGTTAGCACCCAGTTTGTGACCTGGCACACAGTGGGTGCTTTGAATGTGCTTAATTCACATTCAAATTGAATGTGCAGCTTCGCCTCACACATTGGACAGCTTTCTGTCACCTGTGTAGAGGAAATCTAGAAAGGAAGAAAAATCTGGAAAACTGTTAATGGATCCCACGGTCCCTGCAGGCAGGGCCTGTGGACAGTTCTGCTCTTTTCCGTGAGTTCAGTGGATTCTAAGCTAAAAAAAAAGGGAATCTCGGGCAGCAATGAGATGGCTTATCCGGAAGTCTGGTCCCAAGAGAAGGGTAGATGTTCGAGATAAAACAGACACAAGGTCTCAAAATGCCCATCAGGATCTGAGAAATCACTCTACCAGAACATAGCCCAACACACACGCTGAGTGGGATGACTTGGTCATCAAGAACAACTGAAAACCGAAGTTGTCAATCCTGGCTGTGCATTAAAACCATCTGGAGTGCTTTGGAAACACTGATGCCTTGTTCCCACCCCCAAACCAATTAATCAGAATCTCTGTGGGTGCGGCCTGGAGTCCCCAGGTGATTTTGATGCCAGGGGAGGAGCTCCACTGCCTTAAAGTATCACTCAACATTCCCCAGGGAAGAAGGCAGGGGGGTGTGAAAGCCAATAGGGGAGCATGTTGCAAGAGAGATGGTAAAACTCAGACAAGTTGTGTACGTAAAAGGTCAACTTCAGTTAGCCAAGTTCAGCTTTGCAGAACAGCTCACAGGAAGAGGCTGCAGAGAGTAGAGGACAGAGCACAAGTTCTGGCGACGGACAGATCCCCACTATACCACTTAGTGGGTGTAGATCCCTACTACACCACTTGGGCAAGTTACCCAACATCTCAGAGCCTCAGTTTCCTTATCTGTAAAATGGGCACAATTATAGTGCCAATCCAGAGGATTGCTTTGAAAACTACTTAAAGTAGAAAAAATAACCAGTGTTCAATAAATATTAACTCCCAGCCCTCTGACCCATGAAGGTTCCAGACACATGAGGCATCATTGTGCAAGAGATGGTCCTTAACGCCCCTTAACTTTCTTACATATTAACATTATTGCTTTTAGGAGAAGATATCCAGCTCACAGGTAAGTCGTTTCTGGGTGAGCAGTGGGTGGACTGAGGCAGGGGAAAGCTGTTTCTGTTTCTAGGGAGAAGAGCTGAGATCCTGGAAACAACAGGAGGTTCAACAACCCTGGGTCCTTTGATTTCTCAACCACCCTTCAGGCAGTATCATTTCCTCTTGCTGGACTTTCATGCCTTCATCAGACAGACAGACAGACAGTGAGTGTGCCTCTGTGCCAGGCCCTGTGCTGGGCATGGGGATGGGATCCCTACCCTCACCAAGCTCCTTGTCTAGCAGGAAGCCTGGCATGGCTGCCGGTACCCACCACACACAGCAGAGAAGCCATGTGAGGCTTCGGAGGAGAGGAGCCAGGCATTTAAGGGGAAAGAGTGATGGCCTGGGTGTGCCAACGGGTTACTCTCTCCATCTTGTCCTAAAATCATTACTCTTGATCACGATCGCAACTGTTGCTCTAGCCTGTGCTGGCCCCCTTCAGTTTTTCCATCTGCCAAATGGGCTAGGGGGCCAGAGAGACATTCATTCAGTGATCCCTTAAGGTCCCTGTTTTGCAGAATTTTGTGAAATGAGTCCTGTGGCCCACATTGATGTTTTAACGAAAGATTCCAGCAAGCTCTGTTTGGAAAATTTCACAACAGGCCTTGGACCCATCTGGCTTTTCCTCCATGGGGGATACAAGTGGAGCAATGACAGATGGGTGTCGTGTGATAAAGGGAGAACATCCTCCTCACTGATCTTCTTTATCATCTTTCTTCCACCTCAATCCAGTGCAAGTCTGTCTGGCAGGGTGAGCCCCAGGCTGGGCTCAACCTCTTCCCACAGAGCCTCAGTCTCTGTACCTCACAAATGGGGACGAGCCCTCCTGTGTAATGTGTCGGGGGGAGCAGAGGGCACTGACACTCGGGGCTTACCAGGACCCCCTAGAGCCTGTCCTCCACCCTCTGCGAACTCTAAATTTGTAGCACATGTTTGGGTCCAAGAGGCTAGCTTGGGGAGAGTGTCATTCAGCTTCCGGGCACATCTGAGAGTAGCTTTGTGGCAGGAGTTGATGATCTCTATGATAAATGGGTCTCTAAATGAGTCCTTACATCATGAAGCCGAGAGTCTGTGGTTAGGAGAGGAAGGGAGGGAGGAGAGATGGAGGTCAGGGAGGGATGTAGGGATGCATCCAGCAGCCCTCGCGCCAGCCTCCCTTCCTCCTTCCCGGCTCCTTCCCTTCTTCCGACCAACATCTGTTACATTCCTACTGCATGCAGGGCCCTGGCTCGGAGGCCCTAGGGATGAAGCCCACAGAGTCCCTGCTCCCCGACAGAGAGGAAGAGCAATGCAGTGTGGTCAGCACTGTAACGGGGGGAAGCCAGGAGGTTGTGAGGACACGGATGTGGTTCCAACCTGACCTCATGGGGCGGAGGGTGTGAGGGAAGGCATTCTATGGATGGGAAGGCTTGCAGGACAAATCCACCAGGGAGAAGTGAGCGCTCCTGGCAGAGGGAACAGCAGGGGCAAAGGTTTAAAGGGATCAAAGGAAAGCCTAGGAAAGCTTTGGGCTGGAATGCAGGCTGGATGCAGGCGTTGGGGGCTGTGGGGAGTGGAGATGGACAGCCAGAGGGGGCAGCTGGAGATAGAGCCCAAATGGCCTTGAGTCCGAATGGCCTTCAGTCCCAGCCAGGGGACCTCAGACTTCATTCTGAGGCCCCAGGGATGAGGGTAGGGTTTTCTCAGGGCGGGGGATGGCTGGGGCTGAAGGAAGGAGAGTGGACTGAAGGGGCTAGAACCAGGAGCAGGGTGTGTGTGGGAGGGTCCCCTGATTGCTCAATGTGGCTTTTATTCATTCCCTCGAGAAGCCCTTCTTGAGGGCCTGCTCATCCCCGTGCACAGCACAAGGCCGGCCAGCCCCTCCAACAGTGCACAAGCTCAGGAGAAAATGTATAGAAAGAGCGTTGACAAAGCCTCCTTTGTGATGAACCCTGGGGCCGTGTTGGCATGATGCTCTGCTGCCCTCTAGCGAGGCCTGGCGATGCACCCCTGCAGGGTCCAGCCAGCTTCGAAGATGTGCTGAGCTTCTGTACATGCCTTCTCTCTATCCCTCCCTCAACTACAGGAGTCCCACTGCTCCCTGGGAAAAGGGGCAGTCTGGAAGTGGAGGACAAGCTCAAAACAGGGTGAGGAGGGGAGGTGGACACAGAGGGACTCAGTCCCAGCTGTGGGAACAGGCAGCATCAGGGTCAATGAGGGGCTTGGGGCCCAGGTACTGCATCTTGAATTTTCTCAAGTGAATGAACACAGACTACATACAATGGTAACAATGATGATGATGGTGGAGACGGTGGTTGCAGTGACTAATGATTATGGGCACTGCTGGTAGGTATTGGTGATGGGGTGATGGTGGCAGTCATGATGACAAAGATAGAGGTAGAAATAGTGGTAGCGGTGATGGAGGTGGTGGTTAAAATGACTATAAAGCTACACAGAATGTTCTTGTATATGTCCTTAGGTGGAAGTATGCACTCATTTCTATTGGGCACAGACCTAGGAGTGGAATTGCTGGGTCATAGGACAGGTATATGTTTAGCTTTAGTAGATGTTGCCAAACAGTTTTCCAAAAAATGGTTGTATTTTCACTTGTAATGTGTAAGTTCCTGGTGCTCCACAACCCCACAAACACTTAACGTTGTCTGTTTTGTTCACTGGAGTATCTCAAATGCCTGGAAGCCTGGCATATAGAGGAGACTTAATAAAAATCTGCTGCGTGAATGCTCCATATGAGGGTGGCAGATGTTCATATTCACCATTAGAGACCAGAACCAGAACTTTGCTCCTGCTTGTAGACATTCAGTGATGGCCACATTTGGATCCAGGTTGGGAGCCTGGTGTAAAAGTCCTGACCAAACAGCTCATCACACCCCAGAGTGCACATGTCCCTTGTCTCTGCACTTTTCTCAAAATCCCTTCAGTGTGGCTCCCCTCACTCCAGTTTGAGGAGGAACAGCAATCTGATCAAACCAATGCACACTAAGATGTGAGTGACTCATAGTCCTTAACCCTTGTTCACTTACTGGGTTTACGACATGAAAAAAAGGCAACCTGCCACAGCAGACAGCAAAGAACTTAGAGTTCCTGGTTTTGGATTTAAACTCTCTCAGTTTGGCCACTTACAGCTATTTTCTCCTTAGACAACTTCCCCTGCCTATCTCTATTTTCCTGTTATGTTTTATTCTGTTTTCATTTGAAAAACAGGAATGGTAATTCTTGTCCTATCCACCTCAAGGATTCAAAAAATATAATAGATTAAGGAACTTCAGAGTTGAAAAGACTCTTGGAGATCATCTAGGGATTTTTATTTTTGCTTTTAAATAATTCTTTACAATATATGAATCACTTTCAATTATAGTTTCACTGAAATCACAGAACTATATAAAATAAGGGCAGGATCATTAATCTCTTTTCGTAGGAAGGAAACAAGCTAAAAGGGGAAATGACTTGCCCAGGGCTCTGCAGTTTGTTAGTGGCAGAGCTGGAGGCAGTGGCTCTTTGCTCTACCTAATTCTCCCTGCAGATCTAGCTAGAAGGCCCTATAAAACCAAAAGGTCAACTGGGCTCTTGCTTGCATGCCTCCAGTGCATGGGGAACTCACTGCCACCCAAGATAAATCATTTGCTACTTGGGTGGCTCTGATAGTTGGCTGTCATTTGTGGTGGTATAGAGCATGTTTCATCAAGAGGGGGTGATTATTAGAGCTTTCATTCTAATGTTTCTTTGAAGGAAGAGGAATTTACAGAAATATTCAGAGAACACGCAGAGATAGCCAGAATGGCAATAATTATAACAATCGATACCTACTGATGGTGTCACTTCCCTGTTGGTAACCCTTCATGGGCTTCCTGATTCTCCGAGGAATGCGTCCAGATTCTTTGATGTGCCTTTCGTGAGCTGAGTCCAGCCTCAAACCAGCTCTCAATGCCGCACACATCTCCCCACCCCATCCTGTCCTTCCTGCAGGATATGCTCCCTCTGCCTGGAACACCCTCACCCACCACTCTCACCTCCCTGCTCCTACAGGCCTCTGAATTCCACCCCCTCCTCCAAACCCCTGCACATCAGATTGCACTTACCTGTCTCCGTAGCACGACTACGAGCTTGGAAGGGGCAGGATCTGCATGTGATTCCTCCACCCGGTGCCCTGCATGAAGAACGGCACTGAATGGGTGATTGCCCCGGCCCAGCATATTCACAGACATCTCTGCTGCTCTTATCAGCCAGGCCAGGAGAGAGTTAAACAACCTCCCTGGCCTTGGATCAGCTCTGGCATTGGAGAGGCAGGTGGCCCAAAGTTTAACCAGATGCTTCAGAGCCTGTTGTCAGCTCAGCTCAAGGAATTCAGTCCAGCCACATCTTCCTGGAACTGAGACCTGGGCCCCTCCCACCCCTCTAGACCCCTTTCCCCTCCCGGGGCTCTGAGCTAGAGGAAGCTGGAACTGCTGGGGAGGGGTAAGGTGGGGAGGAAGATTACAAAACTGGAGGAGTAGGCGGAGAAAGTAGGAAGAGCCTGGTCCATGCTCTGCCCAGACTTGCTGTGTGGCCTTGGCTGAGTCCTTCCCATCCCGGTCTCAGTTTCCCCATCTGTGCACAGAGGAAGCTGGTCTGGGTGGTCCCTCCTGATGGGACTGGCCAAGGGCAAGTGATCCTCAGACTCCAGAGTCCCCTAGCTACAGACTCTCTCCACCACAGAGGTGGCGGTGGGTAAATCTTTAACTAGCTAGCCCTGGGTAGGCCCAGCCTTTCCGGATGGATGGCTGCCTGGGAAGGGGGGGATGAGGGTGGAGGATGTAAGGTGTGCATAGCCAGTCCCAGTGTGGTGAAGGGGGAGGGTACTGGGGAGGGAAAAGAACGAGACTCGGGCGGAGCTAACCCGTGTGCAAAGCAGAACATGGAGGAACGCGGGTCCCCCGACGGGTAAGTACAGATTTAGGGAGGTTCAAGGAGCCGCTGGCGCAGGGATGGTTAACTCGCGTTGCTGCCACAGGGACCCCGCGCGGAACCTCGAGCAGGGACCAGAGGGGCCAGAAACGCCCATCCAGGTGGTGCTCAGGTGGGTATAGGTTGGCTAGGAGGGGTCCAAGCGAGGAAGGCACTGACGGAGATTTCAGGATGGACCATCCACCCCCTCCCCGCCTCTTCGGACCACAGGGTGCGTCCCATGAGCGCGGCGGAGCTGCGTCGAGGGGAGCAGAGCGTGCTGCACTGCTCAGGGACCCGGACTCTGCAGGTGAGGACCTCCCCCGCACTCCCCAAAAAACACCTACCGGGAAGACGCCAGGTCCCTCCAGGCCAATTTCCCCCAGGCCCCGCACTCCCCCAGGTGAGCCCCGCCCTCCCCAGAGTGCCCCGCCCCCTTCTCCACGGCCCCCTCTCCCAGGTGAGCCCCCCGGGCGGGGGCCCCGACGTGGCGTTCCGCTTCGGCGCAGTGCTGGACGGGGCGCGCACGCAAGAAGACGTGTTCCGGGCCTGCGGCGTGCGGCGCCTGGGCGACCTGGCCCTGCGCGGGTGAGTGAGGTCTGGTGACGCCCCGCCCCCACACGGCCCCGCCCCCCCCGCCCCCCGCCCCTCCCTGGGTACAGCCACACCTCTGCGGCCCGCAGCTTCTCCTGCACCGTCTTCGCCTTCGGCCAGACCGGCTCTGGGAAGACCTACACCCTGACCGGACCTCCTCCCCAGGTGGGCCGATCGCATTCGGAGCCCGCAGGGGTCAGGGGTCGGTGGGCGAGAAGCCCTGGGGAGCCGCAGGCAGCGCAGACTCCCAGAGGGAAGGGGAAGGGACGTGGACGATGAGGCCCAGCCCCATTTATTTGTAGACAAGGAAACTGAGGATCAGGGAGGTGAAGGGACTTGGCCAGTGTAGAGCACCTGGGTTCAAATTGTGTCCCCTTTATTTACTAGCTCTCAGTTTCTTCATCTGTAAAATGGAAGTGATAGTACTGACTGAGAATTAAATGTGATGTTGTATGGGAATTGGGCACAGTGCTCTACAAAGGGTAATTATAACTGCGGTGGTGGTGGTAAGCCAGCCCCAGGCTCAGCTGTTTCTTCCCCCAGGGGGAGGGCGTGCCCGTACCCCCCAGCCTGGCTGGCATCACGCAGAGGACCTTCGCCTGGCTGTTGGACCGCGTGCAGCACCTCGGTGCCCCTGTCACTCTCCATGCCTCGTATCTGGAGATCTACAATGAGCAGGTGGGGGACTGAGAAGGCTAGAAAGACAGCCCACAAGGAAAAGGAGGCATTTCTTTCCAAGGAGGCTGGGTCAAGGGGCAGAATAGATGGGGGACTGTCGACCATGAGGTCTCGGGGTGGATGAAGCAAGAACTCAGAGAGGCCCCTCCCTCACCCTCCACCCTCCTCTCTCAGGTCCGAGACTTGCTGAGCTTAGGGGCTCCCCGGCCCCTTCCTGTTCGCTGGAACAAGACGCGGGGCTTCTACGTGGAGCATCTGCGGGTGGTGGAGTTTGGGAGTCTGGGGGCCCTGATGGAACTTCTGCAAATGGGTGCGTGCTATTTCAGGGGAGCTTTGGGGTACGAGAGATGCCCATTTTTCACTTGTTCACTGAGTGCCCTCGGGGCCCCAGCCTGGAGCTGTGGGTTCAGAGATGACCCTTGGGGGAGAAAAGAGCCAGCAAACCAACAATTCAGATACAACCCAAGAATGTCCCCCACCCCTACCCCCCAGGCCTGCTGATTTTGCCTTCCAGACTCTTCCCACCCTCCTCTCCAGCCCTGGGCTTCTGCCTCAGTCAGGCCTCATTTTTCCCCCCTGGAAGGGTCTCTTCCTTTCAGTCCATGCTTCTCCATGTAGCAAACCACATCCTGCTTCCCTTCCAGAACTTTCCAGTGCCCTGAGAGTAAAGGCCATACCTCCTAGCCTAGCCTAAAGGCCCTTCAGTTCCACTCTCATTCATCCATTCATCAGATTTTTATTGAGCACCTACTGTGGCTGGCATCAGGGACACTGAGATTCTGGGCTCGGGCCAAGCATTGTGCCGTGCCTCCCAGCTGATCTCTTTGTCTGAGTTTCTCTCCGTCCACACAGCAGTGGGAGAGATGTTGATAAAATGTGAATCAGACTGACCTTCCTCCACTCAGTTCTCTCCAGCCCCCTTTCACCTATCTGTGCTAGAGCCCGACCCAGCACCCATCATTCGACTCTCCTGCCTCTGTGCCTTTGCACTGGTTGGGCCCTCTACCAGGATGCCTTTTCTCCTTTTTCTTTGTTGGTGACCACTTGCTCTTCCTACCACGTCCAGGTCCATATGTTTTTCCCCTCTAGGTCTTAGCCGTAGAAGGAGCTCAGCTCACACCATGAACCAGGCCTCCAGCCGAAGCCATGCCCTGCTCACAATATACATCAGCCACCAAACTGTGAGTGCCCCGGCTTGGGGAAAGAGCTGGCCCAGGGCCACCCAGCAAGGGCCTGCCTCTGGATGTATAAAACAACTTGGGCGTACACAGGAGGTAATGGTGAAAACCCTTGGCCTTGTGGCTTTGATGCGGACAGCCCCTCCCACGTCCCCATCAAGCCCTGCTCCCCCAACCCCAGCAGATGCCTCCTGTGGATCCCGGGGAGCCCCCTGCCGGGGGGAAGCTGTGCTTTGTAGACCTGGCTGGCAGTGAGAAGGTGGCGGCCACAGGATCCCGTGGGGAGCTGGTGATTGAGGCCAACAGCATCAACCGCAGCCTGCTAGCCCTGGGTGAGATCTGGGGCCAGCTGGACTGACTTCCTGAATCCCTCCTCTGTGCCTTACCCATAGCTGTCCTCAGTGAGGGAAACCAGAGGAGTTGTAGGGCATGGAGGAGAGTTAAAGAGCTGTGATTCAGAAGCCACAGGCCTCCCTCCGGCCTCGGCTTGCTGTTGTCTCGTGCTTTTTCCCTCTTAGAACTTTGTTTATAGATCTATAAATACTGAGGATACAGTTACATTCTAACTGAGGAGGTAGAAACACTCAAGGGCAGAGTGTGAGCCCTCAGACATTCAACCTGTCCCTTGTTGCATTTGGGAAGACTGAGGCCCAGTGAGGGGAAGGGCACTAACATGTCTTCCCTCCTCCCCATCCCCCAGGTCATTGGGCCTTGAGGTCCTTAACAGCTGGGGCCTTGGCCTTCCTCTGTGCATGCATGGGGAGACGCATAGGGAATGCCTCTTCATTTGATTTATTTGTCAGACATTTCCTGAGCCCCTGCCAAGTGCCAGGCCCTTTGGTGGGCCCTGGGGATCAGGGATGGAGCCCAGTCTGGTGGCAGAAGCCAATCTGAACGGGTAATGAGATCACGTGGAAAGAGATATCTTAAAGACCTACAAGCCTGGGTGGAGATCCTGGCTCTGCAGAGTACCAGCTGGGTGGCCTTGGACATGAAGGGTAACCTTGCCTTCCCCACCCAGGTCACTGCATCTCCCTGCTGCTGGACCCACAGCGGAAGCAGAACCACATCCCCTTCCGGGACAGCAAGCTCACCAAACTGCTGGCGGACTCGCTGGGGGGGCGTGGGGTGACCCTCATGGTACCTAAGGGGGACTGGCAGGGAGGGCTGGGTCCTGAGGGAGGGCTCCCAGAGAGGAGCACTCAGGGGCAGTCCTCCCCAGGTGGCCTGCGTGTCCCCCTCAGCCCAGTGCCTTCCCGAGACCCTCAGCACCCTGCGATATGCAAGCCGAGCTCAGCGGATCACCACTCGGCCCCAGGCCCCCAAGGTGAGTGGAGAGAGACACAGGCAGAGGGATGGGCAGGGCAGAGGGTGGGGGATCAGGCAATAGCTGGGGACTGAGTTGGTGTCACGCTGAAGTCTGGGACTGAGTCAGGCTTGGGATTAGGGTTGGAATCCTGATGATGGGGTTAGGGTTGGGGGGGGGGGGCGGGTCACAGTCAGGGTTACGGAGGGTCTAGGGTGGGAGTCAGATTAGGAACATGATTCAGGGTCTGACCAACATCCGAGCTGGTATCATGATAAGTCTGAGTTAAGTTGGAGTCTGACGTGTGGTCTTATTTGGGGTCAGAATCTGGGCCAAGGTTTGAACAGAGCTGAGTTTGGGGTTGGACAGGGAGTGGGGTGTAGCTTAGAGCGGGCCCTCCAGGCGTGCAGCTGAGGCCACGTGGCACTTTAATGCTGTTAGGACAAGGTGCCCCCTCCAAATGGATGCAGCCTTGGGCCAGGATTCAAGGCTGACAAGTGGAGCATGGGCTGGATTTTAAGCTCCACTCACTCTGCAACCCCAGAGCCCTTGTGCAGTGTGAATGTTTACAACCACAGCAGTAACTCTGGGTCTGTTTCTCTGCAGTCCCCTGTGGCAAAGCCACCCCAGCATTTGGAGACTGAGCTATTGCAGCTCCAGGAGGAGAACCATCGCCTGCGGTCCCAACTGGGCCAAATGGACCCCAGAGGTATGAGCTCCCTGGGGGTGGAGCGAGATGAGGATAGGGTCTGGGGCTCCTGGGGCTCCAGCTACCTCCCTCTTCTCTGCAGCCTCTGGACTCATTGGGGCCCGGGTGTCCTGGGCTCAGCGGAACCTCTACGGGATGCTGCAGGAGTTCATGCTGGAGAACGAGAGGCTCAGGTAGGGCCCTGCCCCCCCC